TACGCCTCACACGTCAATTATCTGATCAAGTCCTACCTACAATTATGGTCGAAAACACTAAAGGTCTATATAAATCACATTACAGGAAACATCTCGCTGCGTACCTGGGACCTGTATATAAAACACCTCGCTCCTCCTATGAACTTCACCTTATTCAACAGTGGGAATGGTGTGTTGAAAGTTGTTTAAAAAGATACAAAGACACTTACTCGAATTCCAGTTGCATTCAAAACCCGAAGCTAGGAATAAACGCTCCTTCTAGTATTCAAAACAATATAATAAAAATATAAAATCTATCTCAATTAAAATCCATCTCAAACAGTCAAGCATGAAGAGAAATTAACAAAACCTAACTGTCCTGGGTATGACGATAAACAACATCCAGAAGCAAGGCCTTTTTGATCGGGAGGTTAGAGATTTTGGGGAGCGTGGAACCACTTCTTAATTGCTTTTGTTCCCAGGTCCACCTAAACCCAGAGTGGTAGCACCTGTTATGGTCCCACTCATGGGCTAATAGGGGACCCAGCCCAAAAAAAATCAATAGTACGTTTTTAGAATAAAGTAACAATTTTTTATGGAAAATTAAAATCAATGCAAAACTAAAAAATATAAAAATACATTTTTATAGTAAAATTACCAACAATACATTTTATGATCTACAAACTGTATATCTAAGACAACAGAACTTTACCTTCAAAGTATAAAATCATGTGCAAAAATATCTGAAAGTAGAAAGCATAAAATGATGTAGAAAAATTGTAGCTTTCGGTATTAAGTAATCCAGAGAGGTTGACATGCTGCTAAACAAAATCAACCAATCAACTAACCAACTAGTAAGACCTAAAACAAACCCTTTTGAAAATGGCTAAAGCACTTGAAACAATGGACAGTACGAACATTTGTCACACTGACTCCCACCTAATGCAAAAATGTAAGATTGCTGGAAAAAAAAAACTAAATAAAAATAATTAAATTTTCCTTGTCTGTCATCCCCAACGAAAAAACGGTCACTGCACATTAATATATATATATATATATATATATATATATGTGTGTGTGTGTGTGTGTGTGTGTGTGTGTGTGTGTAATGATATGTTAGCGCTTGGGAATTGTGAAAGCAGGAAACTGGCATTCGCCCATACATTTTTTGCATATTCTTTTTTAACAATTATAATAGCGATGCCTGTTTGACATTGAGCGCTGTTTTTCTCACCGACACTACGTGAAGGTACGTTTCTTGATCTCTTTATATATACATATACATATACATATATATATATATATATATATATATATATATATATATATATATATATATATATATATGAGGAGTGCAGAAAAAGTTAGCAAATCGGCCATTATTAAATTATAAATTTGTACGCAGTCGATGAATATTTTTATATAAATTGATGGTAATATTTTCCATCACATTGCGACTCTCGTTATAGACAGCATTCCTTGCATGTAGACACAATATTGGTATAATGTATGCTGATGAAACCATTTTCATGTTACCCACAAGAATAAAATTCCAGAAGCCCATGAACAAGGCAGTAAAGAATAGATGGAAGAAAGGACTAAGCACCAAATGTAAGAAAAGTGAATATCTGATTGTAGGTAAGAGGTAACTATCCAAGATGTAAGCCAGTACAGATATGAAATTACTCTAGAAAGTGGACAGGAAATATAACAACGAAAACCCACAGCACATTAGTATAGAAAATGATATAGAAAAAGCTAAGCAAAGTATTAAGTAACAGGAAAAATTCATTAGAAACAAAGAGAAGAGTACTGAAATGTTGCTTAATATCACTTTTCCTATTTGACTGTGAATGCTGGACAATCTCCTTTCAGATAAAGAAGTGATTTGAACCAACAGAAATGTGGCTCTACAGAAGTATCCTGAGAATACCATGGACCGAATATGTGAGCAACAACGATGTTTTAGAGAAAATGGAAACAAATTGGGTTTATATACTTAGAATCAGAAAGAGACAGTTGGAATTTCCATGGTACGTAATGAGGGAAGACAGTTTTGAAAGTTTGATAATCACAGTACGGATTGAATGCAAGAGGAACAGAGGAAACTAACCCATAACCTACCAAGCAATGAATATTCCCATATAGTCACCCATCGAGGTACTAACCAGGTTCAACATTGCTCAGCTTCGATGATCATATGAGAAGTGTTGTTTCAACGTGTAACGGTCGTGAGTCGATCTTATTTAAGCGGTGAAATTAATATATAATGTCTGAGGGATCGAAGGTTTTCTTTTTTTTTAAGACCATGTGTATTTAAACAGGAATCATATCTTTACTCTCATTTTAATCTGAAAATCTACCTCCAGCTCAGGCACGCTTTTACGATTAAGTTACAAGGAAACATCACAGTAAAATAAGACTCAATTATCCTACTTGAGAAATGTACATCTGTCGTTGGAACACTTAAACCTATATCTGTTAATTTTATTTTCACACAAGAAACAAACATTTTTTTTTCACAATAAATAGAGTTTTTAACTGAACTTCATTTCTTATTACAACAAACGTTATATTTAGTGGGTACGTGTTTGATTTTCTACTCGTTTCATAAACAGTGAAATTAATGTCTAACTGGTTAGAGATCGAAATTCTGATTAAAGAAAATATGCCTCTGACAGGAATCGAACTTGTATACCCTTTTTAATAAAACATTTTAATATTTATTATATTCCGTGCTAAGGGAATAAATACTTAACACCAGATGGATAGTAGAAGAAAGCCTCGGGAAGTTTTCAGGAGTGTGGAACCACAACTTAATTGCTGTTGCTCCCAGGTCCAACACTTGTTTGGGTCCGAGCTATGGGCAAATATTTAACCCCAAAACTGGGGTCAAAACACACTAAAAGTATAAAAAAAATATTGTAAGAATACTAGCAATACATTTTCATAGTAATAATAATTATCAGCAATACATTTCTCTAACAAAAAAATTCCAGCTATACATATTTTATCTCAAAATATTACTGATGTTCCAAAGAAAATTAATTTTTTGCATTAAATGACGCAATAGATTGAAATACCATAAAACAAACCAAACCAGTTGAAGGTGGTGAATGACGCTGAATTAAATATTTCGAAGAATCTAAGTGGTAAGGAAGCAGGAAACCTTAAAAGAGTTCATTAGGCGAGGAAGGAAATTATTAGAATAAATCTTACCGTATATACTCACGTATCATGCGATCTATAAAGACCTTATTTTGAAGCTAACTAGACTACAGTAAATGGATATATAGTCTGGTCAACTATAGCCAGCATAGTCGGGGCCAGTAGTACATACACTAATTTTATATCTCGTGTATGACGCGACCCCGTTAGCTTTAATTTAGGTCTTCGAAATCACATGACACGCGAGTATATACGGTACTTGAAATAGCTATTCCAACATTGAGATCTAGTATTCAATTTTAAGTTCATTAGCTAATTAGTTGCACAGACCACGAGAGATCCTTACATACTTGTCAACACAACTTTATTTATGAAATGAACAAAGTCCGACAATTATTTTAAGACATTTTTTATGTTTATATATTCTTTTTATAGATACAAATATTTTAAGTAAATGCTCTGTTTCTAATAAACAGTATTAAACAACATTACCGGCCTGATTGTCCGAGAGATTTTCACAGAAAATATTCATCCTCCGACAGGATTCGAACCTGTACCCTATACGTAACCGTCACAGCTTGACGTGCCTTTAACCGATTTGGCCACAGAGGAGCATACAGTTAATTCGACCTTGCTAACCGAACGCTACTCTGTAGCCAAATCGTTTAAGGTACGTCAAGCTAAATGACGGTTCCGTATAGGATACAGGTTCGAATCCTGTCGGATGACGAATATTTTTTGTGAAAATTTCTCGGATATTCAGGCCGGTAAATGTTGTTTAATACTGTTTATTATAAACAGAGCATTTACTTAAATATTTGTATCTATAAAAAGAATTTATAAACACAAAATGTCTTAAAACAACTTTATTTATTAATTCCTGTCCTTTCAGTTGTGACGGATGACGTTCTGCTGTCCTGTCTACTTTTATCCTCCCACCGTCTAGAATGGGGTTTACCATGTGGTTCTTGGCCATGAATATTGTCTTTGTAGGATCTCTAAGTTCGCAAAACTTCTTTCTACTCTTCTAATAACCTCACCAAAATAGTTTAACTCTCTTTAAATCATGTTAATTATATTAACATTTAGCGGTTTTTTTTTTCCTTATGGCAGCCATTTTGATTCATCTGTAAATTCCTTCTCCCGGTTTTCGAAGACTGAGAAAAATTGAATATCCTCCTTATTCATTATCAAGGTTTCACTGGTACAAATCTCTACATAGATGACCAGAGAATATATTATCCTTCCTGTCCGGGCCTTTTTTCTTCAGTCTTCTAAATGCAATTCAAGAAAGTGCTATTCTTTGCTTTATATCATCATATGCAGCTTGGACAACTGACCCTAGAAAGAAGGCTTTTTTCAACAGCTTTACCATTTGTCACGATATGATCAATTTTGTTTGTCATTAATTTGCTATTAGCTGAGTTTACTTTCAGTCCACATTTCTTGTAAGCGTTTACAAGTTTCATTTCGTCAAATATACATAGAACCAATGTCGTACCATTAGCATATCTAATATTCGACGAAAGCCTCGCATAAAGATTCAGGTTATAATTCTAGGTTGACTCGATTATCGCTGACATTTTCTAGGAATATTTTGAACAATGTTGATGAATATTATACAGACTTGACTGACTATTGTCTCAAAGCGAAACTATTTCTACTGAAATTTGCACAGAAGAAAATGAAATTTATTTTTTTGTGTGAAATATTTAAAATACCCAGTTTATGGCATCTTTATTTCATATCTGCTTCTGAGACTTTTCTCGGTCACTTTCTCTTGAATTGATTGCTTAGATCTTCGCAATGCTGGATTTTAAGAATATCTGTTTTCATTCTACTGTGTCGTAGGGATGAAAACCGTTTCTGTGAATGCCAAAGTAACGATAGCATTGGCATTGGTAGCTATTTTCACTTAGAATCTTACAATCTCTCGGCAGAACTTTCTTATCTTTTAGACGTTTCTGATGGCAAGAGAATATCTGGATTTTTTTTTTACTTTTTTTTTTTTTTAGTGTTTTCTTTCTCTTTCTCGTTCTTTCTTTTTCTCGTTCTTTCTCCTCTCTCTCACTCTCTTTCTCTCTCTTTCTCTCCCTCCCTCTTTCTCGCTAGCTCTCACTCTTTTTTTTTCTGAACAAGAAAGAAAAGAAAGTCGACATTATCAGGTCGGCTTCTCTGAAAGTAAATTCCCAAAAGGTAATTCCTATTTTTATCTTGCATCTTTCTTTCAGTATTGGGTTTCATGCAAATGTTTTAAGCGAACGCTTTCATTTCATTTCATTTCTTTTTTTCTTTTTTTTTCTTCAAAGTTACCTGACTTTTATTTATTTATTTATTTACTTTTTGTAATATATCGTCTTTCAATTTTTACAGTAGCGCGAATTTCGAAATTAAAGTTAATCAATTTAGACCAAAAGTATTTTCAATCCGAGACTTGTAATCTAGAACTTGAAATCTTGTAATGATTAAAAGAATGAAAAGGTCAAAACAAATTGAAACTCAATGGAAAATTCAAACGTTTATCTATTTTTTCCCTCTTTCAAGATTCCTTATTTACCTTGCACTGTATGCTTGAATATACGGTTGATGTAATGATAATAGCACCGAATAGTTAATCGGAGATCTAAATTCCAATTCCAGTTGTTGAGTTATATTCACTAACGCACAAATTCCCTTGAGAAACGTATGAAATCCCCTCTTCTCCCCAGCTATGTGTTAATTAGTAAGACTTGTAAGACAAACCATTATCATTCCTCCTCCAATTCTTACAAGCTAAAAATATTTTTCTGGCTTTAAATAACATGCAAATAAGCCGTCGGAAATCAATCAATCAATCAATAAACGACTTTCTCAAAATCGATTGATTTATTTTTTACGGATTATCAACCTTCTGAAGGCTATTTAAAGCCGGGGAAAGTTTTTGAGATTGTTATAAGGTTTTGATAAAAGCCCGACTATTTAACTCATAGCTAGATGGGAAAGAGTAGATTCATAACGTTCCATGGGTACTTACGCATAAGTGAATATAAAATCCCCGGCAGGGACTAGAACTCGACCCTCCGAATTCTCTCTCCGAGACGTTATCCATTGCACCACCTGCACATCTAAGCTTACATCACCTGATGTTGCCAAGTGGTCACCCATCGAGGTACTGACTAGGCTCGCCGTTGCTTAACTTCGGTGATAATAAGAGAACCTATGTTCCGACATGATGTAGTCGTAATTAAAGAAATGAAATGTTTTTGCTTGTTTTTTTTTATTTTTTGTTGTTTTTTTTGGGGGGGGTTCTACTTTAGTTCCCCCAATATAAAGGCCCAACGGCCAATCAAGGTTGTGGGTTAATAATTCACATTGTTAGAAGGAGGGGAGAAGAAGGGCATATGATGAGGAATTGTAGGATAGATATCGGTTGATCTTCGGCTGGAAGAGGCCAAGATTGACGTGGTCGGGGAAGCATCAACTCGGGAGTCTGTTCCATAAAGAAAGGTCCAGAGAAAGAAACTCTCAGAGCGAAACTTGCTCCTCGCCTAATCATCGCCAACATGACATCGGTTCCTAGCTGTGAAGGTCTGACTTGCTGGGCCTGTTACTCGTTTGAACATTTACCATAGTGATAACGATAGAGCTGTGTGAAACTAGCAATGTGCGAGTCGAGTAGCGGGATGAGGAGAAACGGTGTGCAGAGTTCAAATTTTGAGTTGTTAAGTTCACTTTCACACAACTATCCTTCAGAAAGGCGTTGGATTCCTCTCTTCTCCCCTCGGCTATGGGTTAAATAGTAGAGCAGAATATGCTCCCTAACTAGTCAGCATGTCTAGAAGAAAGGCAACCCTGACTCCAAAACAACCCTGGGCGCCTCAATCATATAAAAACATACTTGCTGCAGAAATCACACCATCGATACTTAGCGTACTGGGGCTGTGGCCCTTGCTCCTCGAGAAAGTCACGCAAAAGGCGTAAGATACTAATTATGAGGTCTTTTGTTTTTTTATTAATATGCCATGTCTGTCCAGAGCATATAATATCTTGGCTCTCCACAACAACATTTTTGTATTTACTGTCAACTGCCATTGGCTCTTCGTAAAATTCGCGGCTTAGTTTTATGTTTTGAATTCAGAGTAGTCCTTTCAAGGCGAGAAAGCCCAGTTTACACTGTTATTTAACCTATAGCTGAGAGGAGGGATTAATTTCTAGCTTTCCCGTGGGCATTAATAATTGAATGCAATAGACTTGTCAAGAGTTTCATTACCCTTTCTCATGTGATGATTACTGGGTACAATATCGACGTAATGAGCATCGGTGAATTCACCGGCCAAAATTTTATACAAGTTTGAAAAGCGGATAATTGATATTAGTCTGAATATGCCTTAAAATGTGTTATACTGGAACACACCTATTCTATAGTTAATAGGCTTTCCCACCTATAATAAGTAGTAGTAGTAGTAGCAGGCGCTGAGTGGCTCAGTGAGTTGGTGAGTCAGTCGATGTCGGACATTAAAGTATCAGCCACCACAACTAGATTGCTGCGTCATTAACTATTATATCAAGTTCCTAACGTTTTGTACGTCGAACCTTTTTAGGACCGACTTAGTGAAATACAAGCCTACACTGTGAAACTACTCTATAACAAAATGTTTGATACTATGGACACCATCTTCGAAAGGAGAAGCGGGGGTTTAATCTCCATCTCAAGTGTTTCTGTTTGATAGCTAGCCGATCGTTGATACGGAGTCCGTTCTCTCAAGTCGCGTCCTCTTTTACCAAAAGGGAATGAGGAAGTAAAAGAGTAGATGATGCGTTTTTTTGTTTTTTTTTGGGGGGGCATCATATGACAATAAAACCAGAAATAGAGTGTAGAGTCATGCTTGCGAACGGAAGGAGTGTTGGTCTGGCCTTGAAGTAAGTCATCAGTCAAGTGATTCAGATGTTGTTCATTTATATCACCAGCCACACGTCGGGATGTGTCGATAGGCGTGGAGATGGTAGGGAGAAGATCTAACATAGCAGAAAGATGTCCCAAGTATCACCTACCTACCTACCTACCTACCCAGCCTGACGAGAAAGGCAAAGCCTTGAATAAAACATTTACATATTATATGGGAAACAAGGTTCCTGTTATCATCACTTAACGTGGCCTTTGTCTTTCAAAATGTTACATTGTGAGCATGCAGCGGGCCCTGGCCAAGTTTTCGCTATATACCTATGAGATCGAAATGAAACGTGGGGTAATCTTTGGACGATTGGTGGAAAGATTGGCGGAGGAACCCGTTGTATGTTTACAAATAACGTTTGATTAATTTTCTCATGAATAAAGCGTATGAATGATTTTACTCACATTCTTAAACTGATTTTAAAACGAGGATTCAGTCAGTTACGTACCATGCGTGATACACGCTAAGGCGATCTGATGAGGTAGATTTTTTTGTGCAATAGTTTTTCATTTAAACCAGTTACCATCCAAGGCTATTTACTCATAGCTGAGAGGAAAAGAGGTTCCATACCTTCCCCAAGGGTGTTAGCACGTGAGTGAATGTAATAGATTCGACCGGAATTCGAACTCGGCTCTCCGATTCCTCAATCCGAGCCGCTATCCATTGCTCCACCGTCCTTCCTTAAAAACGAGTGTATATTAGTCTCCGGTAGGGGGATAAACTTCACCCGGCAGCAGGAAAGTGACAATTTTGAGGAGCATAGAACCATTCTTAATTGCTGTTGTTCCCAGGTCCATCCTGACATGGGGAGGTAGCACATGTTAGGGGGGGGTCCCAAAATCCAATTTACGCAAAAATATGCATTTTACTCTTTCTTATCCGTTCTATGGCTTTTAGTAGAGTCCGCAAGCATATTTATCGCCTGTGTTTGTGAATAATTCGAACTAGATGACTAGCCAGTCCGCGCAAAAATTTATTAACGTGATATAGTATCCAGTTCAACTTTTTCATAATATGGTGCGACATATACCTTTTGTGATGTCAACGAACATTCTTTGCTACATTTGTGTTGTCAACAAATACTCGTTGTCACTTTCGTAATGCTCGTTGGAGTAGAGACTTTTTAGTCGCATATTATGACTATAGTAACGCCGTTGAACAATACCGGTGTCAGACGCCTTCGAATATCACTCGCACTAATAGTACTTTTTCGATAATATTCGCTCGAATAGTAACCACTGTGTTGCGATTCGAATAGATAAGTAATACAGTGAAGCGAGTAGAGAATAGCGGTATAATAAGAGAGGATAGAATAGAAATAGCGATCCGTTAGTATAGAGGATAGACTAGAAATAGCGAACATTAGACGTCACACGATTTCCTATATATGCGTTTCCTCTGTGGTCACGTGATCCACTTAAATCAATAATGGGATCCCCTGTGTTTGCTCACTTGCGATCTGTATTCAAACTCAAGTGTTGGCACTTTATACCTATATAACAAAACCAAATGGTGACTGGAGAATGCACCAGATGAAATATTATGATCGGAACAACCGACATCGCTACATCTGCCTCATCTGGATGTCTCAGTTATCTCCCTTTAAGTCAACTCTCCAAGTTTTTGTTCACCACTTGGAGAGTTGAGTTAAAGGGATACGTTCTAATCATCTGAAGAAGGCTGAAGCGTACAACCGCCGAAACGTCGTGAATGTGACAATAAGAATGAGGACAATCGTCCAAAGAATGTAAGTAATGCAAATAATTACAATACCTCATCTCAGAAATATAAACAGATATTGAGGAATTAAGAAGACCGAAGATAACGATTTATTGATACTGCAATTACATTTTTGAGGGTCAAAGTCGTCTGAAAGTAAGAAGCTGTAAACAATTAATCATATTCTCGTCTTTTTTTTTTAGAGAGTCCCATTGCAAACGGCGTTTTATTTTGCTCAAACTCACCAAAGTTTCTGATTTTTGTGTCAACTGACTTTTTTTATTTCATTATATCGTGGGCGACACTGCTGTCAAACACCTTAATTTACCACTTGGTACTTGTGGAGTGACTGGCTAGATATTGTTGATAGGATGTCACTCATTTTTGTAACTACTCCAACGAAAATACTAAAATTTACCTCTGTTGCCTTGGAAATGAAATATGATTGTACACATTACTAGAGTGTACCATGCTTCTTGCACGGAGTCGAATCAGCCACGTTGCCTCTATATTCC